ACTCACAGGCATTATATCGCGTGTAGTGAGGTGCATATTGAATCTTGAGGCCTCAAAATGCACCTCAATACGCGCGGGAGCCAAACGCCATCCAGCAGCTCTTGACTGCACCTCACTCACAGGCATTATATCGTCCCCTGCCATCTCCCGTTCCCCTTCCTACCCCGCCAGTCGCACGGGCATCTCATGGAGCTCGCAGCAGCAGGCGCGCGGGACGCACACGCGCAGCCAAACGCCATTCAGCAGCGGCGATCCGTGGGGGGGAACGCGGCTACCATGGCCATGAACATGCACGGGGGCATGGGCAGCGGGGGAGTGGGTGGAGGCATGATGGGGGGCTCTCCCGTGCATCACCACTGTCGAGTTGTGGCGGAACGGAAGTGGGCGCTGGGACTTCAGGTGCGTTTTCTTGGCGTGTTTTGAGTTGATACAAAACACATGGCATGATGGGGGGGGGTTCCCATCAAAGAACATGGCATTAAGCCATGAGCAAAACCACCTTCACGGTTACCCACCACCATCTTTCCCACTCCTCTTTGTGTCACTCTCTCTTTCTCTGTCTCGCTCTCTCCATCTCCGCTTCCTAGTCTCGCGCCCACCAGATAATGACAGAGGTGCTTCGAGCAACAGAGTTTTCATCAGTGCACACATCTCCCCGTTTCACTCTCTCTTTCCCTGTCTCGCTGTCTCCATCTCCTCCTCCCAGTCTCGCGCCCAGCCAGTGGACATAATGACAGAGGTGCTGCGGGCACTGCACGCGCTGCACGTGAGATGGAAGAAAACAACCAATCACACCGTCAGGTGCCGATGGGAGGCCCCCACACCCTCCCGCCCCCTGCAAATACACACTGACACTGGCGCACTGTTCACCGACACAGCCTCTGCTGCTGCCGCAGCGGGTGCAGCAGCGGTGTCAGGAGTAGGAGCAGGTGTGGGTTGGGAGTGTAAGGGAGCGAAGGTTGCTCCTGAGATAGATACTGGCGTGGGAGTGGGCACAGGAGCGAGGATGGGTATTGATGTGGGGGCAGGGATGTGTAGGGAGGGACATTGCTGTTCAGGAGCAGTTTCGTGCAGTGCTGCTGATGGTGGTGCTGGTGGCTGTGCTGCTGCCGGTGGTGGTGGTGGTTTCAGTGGAGGGGAGAGGGGAAGCAGCAAGGGGATGGAACTGGAAGGATGGCAGGGAGGCTCTGATACCAGTTTTGGTGGGGCTGGGGAGAGCGAAAGGGCTCTTTCGCAGCAGAGGCAGCAGCAGGAGCGAGCGACTGAAGCGATGTTTTCAGGGGAGTTGCGGAGAGTTCTCCGATTCGAAATGCAGGTGCGGATTCTCGTTCCGTGTTCCCTTCTTCCAATCTCTTCCCTTCCCCTTCCGCCCACAACCCAACTCTTTCTTTTCATTATCCTTCTCTTTTCTCTCACTCCCCCCCTCTTTGCATTCTGTATAACTGCTCCCCCAACCCCTTCCCCACACTTTCCCCTCTGTGTGTCGAACTCTCTCTGCACAGTTGATGCGTGTGCATGAGGACAAGTATCTGCTGGACTTACAGCACATGGACGGCTTTCAACTCAATCACACCTAACCCCCCTCTCCCCCCCCACCTCCCTTCCCGCACTTTTCCTTCTGCGTGTTGAACGCACTCTCTCTCTGCACAGTTGATGCGTGTGCGCGAAGACAAGTATCTCCTGGACCTACAGCACATGGACAACTCTCACATGCTCTTCACACCTAACCCCCCCCTCCCCCCCCCCCTCTCTCTCTTCCCGCACTTCACCTTCTGCATGTCGAACGAACTCTTTGTGCACAGTTAATGCGTGTGCGCGAGGACAAGTATTTGCTGGACCTACAGCACATGGACGGCTCTCACATGCTCTTCATCGATCTCGTCGCGCTCTTCCTCGCTGAACTGCACGTTGTGTGACTCACTGTATGCACACGTGCTTGCGGCATGTGTTGCCTACTGCTACTGTTTACTGCTGCTGTGTCGTGTGTCATTGTGCGTGCGTGTGTGCGCCTGTGTGCTGCTCACTCCTGTCTGCTGGTGTCGCCTTGCACGCACGCAAGCGCACGTGCGTGCGCTCGGTTCGCACATGCGTCCTTCTCAAGGGGCAGGCAGCTTCCGCCGTGTTCTGTGTGACCGTATTTGTTAACTCACGTGGTGTCATATAACCAGCACATGCGCAAGCATGCATGCTGCACGTCGGCATGCATAGACACAGCACTGCACCGCGCTACTGCACACACAAGTGCCTCCACGGATGTGACATGGTGCATCAAGGATTGAAGGATGCAAGATGCTCTTGTTTTCAACTTTTAATTCGGGCTTCCTCTGTGCGTGGAAGTGGCTGGTAGTAACCTGCTGGCTTGCTGCCAAGGTTGCGATTAAACGTGTGTGGGGTGAAGCAATCAATTCTCCTCACTCTCCAAACCAAAGCATGTGGTTATCTTTACTTTTCCCCTGCTGTATCAACTGCTAGATAGCTAAACCAAGTGAAAACAGTTTCTACAAGGCAATACAGGTAGAACAAGTGGCGGTTGAAAAAATTTCCTGTGACAAATGCATGATACATGATACATCCTGGAACTAGCAGCACTATTACAACCTACCAAAAAACAGATACCATATTAACCTGTGCCATTACCCCCCTCACCGTTGCCCAAGCTGCAGCACCGCTTTGGACACAATCCCCGTTGCCTCAATGTATCGCTCCACGCATCGCGTCACACACGTGCTCTCACTGCTGCTTATGGAGGAGCCCGGCTTGGGAATGCACTTGGAAAAGCACTTGTCTCTCACAACCTGGCCCACCATAGCGGGGAGAATCGGGGAAGAAAAGGGGGAAGGGGGAGGGGAAGTGGAGATGGGAAAAGGGGACGGGAAATGGAGGGACGGGGGGGGGGGGGGGGGGGGAGGTGGAAGAGATAGGGTGTTTGAGTGAAAACAAGGCGTTGTGGGAGCAGTGGGAAAGAAAGGAGATGGGACGGGAACAAGGGGAAGATCGAAAAGGGGAATGAGTGAGAGCGGGAAGGGAGGTGGTGCCAGAGAAACTACTGTGAAGCGACGAACAGGGGATCTGAGAGTGAGAACGACGGTTTACACGGTTAGCCGTCAAGACACGCTGCACGGCTAGCCGTTGAGATCAGAAACCCCAAGTCGTTCGCGACTTGCTTTTCGAATTCGATCCGACTTGATCCGATCCCAAGGATAGAACTTAATCTTGGATCTAAACCTGCTGGAAGTTTCCGAACCTGCTGGGTGTATCCGACCCTGCAGGATGGATCCGAACCTGCTTGTAGGATCCGAACCTGCTGGTGGATCCGAACCTGGGCTTCAGCCAGTATCCAGTACGCTGACGCGCTGCAATCCATCGTGCGTAGGCAGTTGATCGGATCTTAGCTTGAGCGAAGCGGAACCCCTCCGCGTAATGCGGCGCCGTTTGCGGCAATTTCCGAGCCGCCTATTCACTTTCCAGCTGTTTGATCAGAAGTCCTTTCGAGGCGCCTCAGAAGGAACGACGTACGTACCGCGAAGAACTCCTCTGCGTACTGTTGCGCGAGCTGCTGCTTCACTTGATCCATCACCACGTCGTTGCTCGGCATCGATCCCGCGGGACTGCTAGACGGCCCGCCGAAATCCATCGCGCTTTCTCTCCTTCAACCCTCCTCCGATATCGCTTAGTCTTTGATGAATGCACCAACACTACCACCACCGGTTCCTCCGCCTCCCTTTCCCTTGATATGCTGCTCCTCTTGCTCCTCTTTCCTTCTCTCCTCTTTCGGCGTATGCCCTTCCCTGCCGTCGATCTCTTTCGAAATCCCAGATGCGCTGCAGATGCTTCCACCACGCGACGATTGCCAAACTGCTGCTCAAAACGCGCTACAGAATCAAGTGCGGAGACGAAAGCGCTAACAAGCACCTGTCAACCAGAAACACCTCGTCTTAGCCCTTGATCGTACTCGTCAATGAGATCTAAAAGAAGCGACAAAACCAAGGCCCTCTGCTGAATATATCCCTGGTCAGAGTGTCGGCCAGGTAAGAAGACGCAGGAGCAATCCACAAGCCACGAAGTGACGGAAACGGCAGACCAAAAAGTGAAAGAGGTCACGTCACGATTCACGGATGAGGAGTGCAGGAATATGAGTATCTGAAGGAGTGGATGGAGAATCCGATGGCGAGAATCCGATGAAGAGGAGGGGGAGGAAGGTGACGAAGTGAGCAGGACGGCGAAGAATTCAGGAGGGCGAAGAACCGATAACAGAAACGAAGCTTCGACAGCGCGAAGTGGCGAAATCGGCGTCGACAAATGTTACATCTTCAGACATTACTGCTTACTCACAGTACAGACGGATTTCCTGACAACAGAACAGTATAACAAGCATGTAAAACTCCAGGCCTGAAATTGCCAAACCAGGAATTTCTGCCCTTGAAAAAAACAAATCCTTACAGAGAGTGAATGCTACGACAATGCTCAATCACATCATCCACCCTGCTTTCAGGCTCTTCATAGATCGCCTCGTCTACATCTAAACCTCCAGACGCCATCACATCATCCCCAATAACCCCTCGAACAGTGTCAGCTACAGATCCTGCAAGCGCCTTTACATTGTAACCGCCCTCGAGGAAGAAAACTAGGCGGCCGTTACAGTATTGTCGAGCGAGTTGCGAAAGTTGTTGGCCGAGACGGTGGTAGGTGGAGGTGCGGAACTGAAGAGATGCCAGGGGATCTAGATAGTGTGCATCATACCTGCATGGGTTTGTAGAGTAGGTAAGGGAAGGGTGGGGGGAAAAACGGGTAGAAATAACGCAAGAAGCATAACACGAGTTTCGAGGCACACCATAAACACAAGAGCTATGGACGACATACGAGTTCAGTACTGTCACGACACACTATCAACTCTCCCACTCCATCACCCCTTTTGCCCCTCCTCTACTTCCCCCTCCACTCCCCCTTGCCCCACCTCCCCTATTGATCGACCCAAAACTTCCATTCAACTCTTCCCACACTCACCCAGCGGACACTAGAATAATATCTGGTTTGAACCGTGCTACAGCCGGTGCTACAAGCCGGTCCACAACGGCTGCCATGGCAAGATCTCCCGCCCCTCCGGGCAGCGGAATGTTTATAGTTGTGCCCTCGCCTGCCCCTTGCCCCACCTCATCCAACCGACCCGTGCCAGGATATGTCCCCTCCTGACCAAAGCGTGCACAGCACAACGGCACGGAAAATAGAGGGAGATGGGAAAGAAAGGCAGAACGATGCTTTGGAGGAGTCGAAAGACTTTTCACCAAAAGTATTAAGGGAGCGTAAAGAAAACAAAGAACGGACAACACCGGTACTGTACTTGCTGATTTACCTCTTCCTCAGCCATCAGAGCACAGAAAGAAAGACCTTTCCACGCATAAGTGAGAAAGAGAAGCGCCAGAATAAGGTTACCGGCTTTGCAAGCTTCTAGCAGCAGCATCACCACATGTAGCTAAGTACCATGTGGTAACCAGACTGCATGTTGGTTACTGTGTGCACGTATAAAAGCCAGCCTCTGCATTGGATCAAGACAGCACAACACCTGCTGCTGCATGGCAGTGCAGGGTTGTGCTGCTCCCATTCAAGGGAAGCAGGGAGGCGGAACGATGTGCAGGCACGCACGCATGAAGAAGACGACAAGCTCATTGTAAAACAGGTCGTGGGGGCCGGTGACATGGTGCCCGTCAAAGTGGAGGATGAACATGGTGCCACGGTGCCGGAGCAGTCCCAACATCCCCTCCCTCCCTCCCCTTCCAACCCCGTCCCCATTACCTGGTGCGTGGACATGAAGAACACGTCCGGATCATTGTAGAACAGGTCGTGCGTGCCGTTGCCATGGTGCACGTCAAAGTCCAATATGAACACGCGCTTGAGCCCCTTGCTCTGCGCGTACCGTGCTGCCACAGCGACGTGGTCCACGAGACAGAAGCCCATGGCGCTTGAATGCACCGCATGGTGCCCGGGCGGGCGCACCAGGGCGAACCCCGCTGGTGGGGCCGCTGTTGGGTTGATCTTCTCTGCTTCTACCTGGGGACGCAGGGATGGGAATTGGCCGGGGGGAAGGAGAACAAGAGGGGAGGAAGGCGGGGGGCAACGGAAGGGAGGAATGGGGAGCAGGAAGAGGTTGGAGAAACCCCAGATGCAGAAGACTAGAGGAGGAGCACAGGTGGTGGCGGTAGCAGCACAAGCAGGTGCAGCGACAGGCAGAGCTGCTGCCACAGCGACGCGGTCCACGAGACAGAGTGCGCCCATGGCGCGTGAGTGCGCCGCGTGGTGCCGAACTAGCCCTGGCGGACTAGAGCGAACCCCGCTGGGCTGGGGGTAGGGCTGCAGGATTAATCTTCTCTGCTTCTACCTGGAGAAAGGGGAAATAGGGGGGACAGCGTGTGGAGAGAAGGGACAGTGCGGAGGAGAGGAAGCAGGGGAGACGGGGACGGGCGGGGAACAGAAGGGGGGAGTAAGGGAGTGGGCAGAGGACAGAGGGACCCCAGATGCGGAAGGAACACAAGAGGAGCACAGACCAAGTAATCACGCTTGTTGTGAGTCTGACGTGGCTAGCGACCATGAGTTGCAGTGCCCATCGCCCATGGCCCATTGCCCATGGCCCATTGCCCATGGCCCATTGCCCATGGCCCATCGCCCATGGCCCATCGCCCATGGCCCATCGCCCATGGGCCATGACACAAGAACCCTGACTTACGAGAGCATCGATGAGTGTGAGGCCCGCACCACATGCACTCAACGTGTCACTGAAGGTCTGCAAAACGGCACTCATGCCATCATGCCATGCCACAGCACGCCATGCCACAGCACGCCATGCCACAGCACGCCATGCCACAGCACGCCATGCCACAGCACGCCATGCCACAGCACGCCATGCCACAGCACGCCATGCCACAGCACGCCATGCCACAGCACGCCATGGCCACAGCACGCCATGCCACAGCACGCCATGCCACAGCACGCCATGCCACAGCACGCCATGCCACAGCACGCCATGCCACAGCACGCCATGCCACAGCACGCCATGCCACAGCACGCCATGCCACAGCACGCCATGCCACAGCACGCCATGCCACAGCACGCCATGCCACAGCACGCCATGCCACAGCACGCCATGCCACAGCACGCCATGCCACAGCACGCCATGCCACAGCACGCCATGCCACAGCACGCCATGCCACAGCACGCCATGCCACAGCACGCCATGCCACAGCACGCCATGCCACAGCACGCCATGCCACAGCACGCCATGCCACAGCACGCCATGCCACAGCACGCCATGCCACAGCACGCCATGCCACAGCACGCCATGCCACAGCACGCCATGCCACAGCACGCCATGCCACAGCACGCCATGCCACAGCACGCCATGCCACAGCACGCCATGCCACAGCACGCCATGCCACAGCACGCCATGCCACAGCACGCCATGCCACAGCACGCCATGCCACAGCACGCCATGCCACAGCACGCCATGCCACAGCACGCCATGCCACAGCACGCCATGCCACAGCACGCCATGCCACAGCACGCCATGCCACAGCACGCCATGCCACAGCACGCCATGCCACAGCACGCCATGCCACAGCACGCCATGCCACAGCACGCCATGCCACAGCACGCCATGCCACAGCACGCCATGCCACAGCACGCCATGCCACAGCACGCCATGCCACAGCACGCCATGCCACAGCACGCCATGCCACAGCACGCCATGCCACAGCACGCCATGCCACATACATGATGTAATTCCATACATGCCATGTGTGCCATGCATGCCAAGCCACACCATGTGATAGAACCATCAGGGCGAGCCATCAGTATATACCTGTTGCCATCAGTGCGGAGCACAGCACAGCAGAGCACAACACAGCATACCGAACAAGTCAGAGCAACACACAGAAAACGTCAAGGCTACAGCACAGAGCCGGGGAAGGTTTTGTGTGCTGGAGCACAGAACAACAACAATATGGAGCGGGAAAGGGGCTGGTAAGAGGAAATTTTCAAAGTAAAAAAAAGTCGGGATATTGAAGTGGCGACATGTTAAATGCAAAAAAAAAAAAAAAAAAAAAAAAAAAAAAAACTCTCCTTTTCTCTCTCCCTCTCCCCTCTCCCTTCGTCTCCTCCCTTGCACCCGCTCCTACCCACTGTCCCTCTTCCCACAGCCTTGCACTCACCGTGACAGTGGCAAAAGTCGGTCCGGAGCCGTCTAGATACACAAGTCCCTCATCTGCTGCTGCTTCCATGGACTGGTGCAGGGGAAGGAATGATGGTGGGGGGAGGGAGCAGGATGGGGCAGAGGAGGAGGAATAAGAGTTTGACACGAATCAGAGCTGGTGAGAGGTCGAAAAGGAAGTTAGGGTGCCTAGAAGCCCTGAGGCAAAAAAATAGGCAGGAAAAAAAGGAAGAAAAAAAGGGAAGAGGAACGGGAAGAGGTGAGGACAGTAGGTGGCATCCATGCCTTGGTGTGGTGGAGGTATGTTGCATGCACAAAATACTACCCGAAATGCCCTTGCGCTCACACCCGTTCCAGCTCGCTCGCTCGCTCTATTCACGGTTCTTCAGTTACAGGTAACCCCCCCCCTCTTCGCCCTCCCTTCCCTCCCAACACACCTGTTCGAAGGCGCGCATGTACTTGGGGCTGTGAACTGCAGAGATGTCGAGGGGCGTGGCCGGGAGGAACGACGAGAGATGTAGCAACTCGCCAGGACGTCCCTGGTGAGAGGCGAGGGCAGAAGCATGGTGTGATGCGGAGTGGTGTGGTGTGACGAGACAGGATGGGATGGGTGGGATGGGACAGGAACAGGAAGGTGTGGGACGGGGTGGAGAGGGAGGGGACAAAAGGCATGGAGATCAGATAGGGGTAGGATAAGTGCGTTTCAGATTTCTTGAAAGACAAGTCAAGCACTGCAGTGCAGTGGCAGCGCATTGGAAAACAGCACGTGTACGTCTTCTAAGGCGCCTCGATCAACAGCGCAGCGCATTTACGCACACACCTGTTCTGTGAGTCCAGAGTCTTGCAGTTCCTTAATCACTCCCACCACACGCTCGTTGCTCTCCGGATGGCCCTCCTGGATGGCATGAGTGCCATGCCATGCCATGCCATGTACCATGCCAAGTGTGATGCGATGCCACGCGCCATGACATCACATGGAGCAACGCCACGCACGCACCCAACAGGGTGGGAGGGTCAATCAAGCGGTCACACCAAGGGCAGAAGAACCCACACAAACGATTTTGTACGCGCCTAAAAAAAAATCACAAGGCGAGCTCACACAGACGCTGAAAGCACCCTCATACCAACCCGCCGTTTCCTTTTCCCTTTCACCTTTTACATGCTCCACACATGCAACCATCCCCGCCCCTCCTTCCTTCCTTTCTCCCTACTCTCCCAACCCCGCTCCCTTCCCCCCCCCCCGAACTTCTCTTCCCCATCCTTCCCCATCTCCCGCCTCCCTCGTCTCCTCCGCCTCCCCCGGGATCCCGTTTTCGCACCATGTGGTGCCCTTGCGCGGGCTCCGCGGCCCATATGAGCTTCAGTCCGCGCAGAAGCTGCGGGTCGAAGGGGAGAGGGCGCGGGGAGAAGTCGTGGGGGAGCGGGGGAGCGGTGGCATAGGCGGAAGTGGAGGTGGGGGAGAAGGAATCGGAGGAATCAAGCGAGGAGTCGGCGGAAGAGGAGGAGGACGCGGAAACCGCAAGTCGGCGCGCAGGAGGGGAACGGGGCAAGGAAAGGCGGAGTTTTGGCGCTTCACAAAAGAAAGGTACTATCCCTGCAGAGAAGGCCGAGGGAAAAAAGGAAAGAAACCGGGAAGGAGAAGGAAAGAGTGGTAACCGTAAAGAGGGGGAAGAAAGAGGGAAAACGGGATGGGGGGAAGGAGAGGGGTTGGGAAGAAGTTGTATAAGCGAGTGAGAGGAGGACAATGTGAAATTGTATAATACTCCGCTGTGAGAGGTAGTGGCACGTACGCACTCGTGTCAAAATATAAGGACGCGGGAACACCGGTACGATTCCAACGTGCGCGAATTCTACGTCAAACAAAATTACAGAAAGGCGAAAGAGAGGGAAAAAAAGACCGAGAAATCATAGAAGAACACGAAGAAAAAAGCGTTATTCGATTGCGCACGCTGCGATCCGCGTAGCAGAAGTCGATGACGAGTCGCAGATGTCACTGGAGCTGCTGCTGTCACCGTTAGCGTCGCCATCGCTGCTCTTACCGGAGCACGAATCACAAATGCCATGAACGCTTCTCAAGGCGCATAAGAAATGTTGTTTTTTCCTATGAAAATAAATCGCCGTTTTCTATTCACGCGCTCCCCACAAGATTTGCCGTAGAGCAGCGAGAATGGTGCTCCTAGCCTTGCAGGCGCAAGAGAAGTGAGGGACCCTGCAAGCGCTCCTGCAACTTCCAAATCTCTCATCCAACCTTGTTACGTGCGCAGTACTAGTCTGTGGGGGCTGGGAGGTAAAACATTTGCCCGTTGTCGAAGCGATGAATCTGTTTGACATGCAACAGCAGCCCAGCTCCAGAGCAGACATGCAAGGGGTCATGCATGATAAGATTACGAAACAGAATGCGAACTCAATACAGTATATGGTTCAAACATTTTATGACTGTATACGCTTCTTGGTGGTATGAACAATGGTAGAGAACATTCCATGCCAAGCTAAGTTAACATTTGCTCGGATCCTTGGACAGAATCCTGACTTCACGTGTACCCAGTATAATTGCATCTGCCACTGTTTCTTTTAGGAAGCCTGACCAGACTCATGCAAGCTCACCAAAATCCAGCCCTGGCACGCCCTATGTATCTGTTTCCATCTTGACCGAGCTTCTACACCACTACATTCCCTCACATTATGGAACACCCTGAGGAGCGAGGGGCAGATGGGGGAGGGGCAGCGGCTTGGGAATGGCCTGGAGGTGGTCCGTAGTTGAAATCATGCGCGTCCAAACCATACTGCACAATCAAGAGTGATGAGAAAGAGGAGCGGGGGGAAGGGGGAAAAAGCAGAGGGTTCTGAGACGTCTCAAAGCTTGGGAATGGCCTGGAGGTGGATCGTAGTTGAAATCATGTGCGTCCAAACCATACTGCACAATCACGAGTGATGGAAAAGGGGAGCGGGGAAAGGGGGGAAAGCAGAGGGGATGTAGGGGAAAGGATTGAAAAACACGGGGAGGCATGAGAAGGGAGAGAGTGAAAGAGGATAATTATCCAGTCCCGTCTGGAAGCGTAAGAAACTACTGGAAAGCGCTAATTCGCAAGGTAAGAAAATCATCTCCATCCACAGCAGCAGCAGCAGCAGCAGCAGCAGCATAAGAATTCCCCAAACAAACACATATGCACACATGAGCACAAAATGGTGTACACAGCGATGCCCAACCCAACCACATCCAGCCCAACAACACACCTTCTCCAGCAGTCTCTGTCGCCAAGCATCAGTCAGCGGCACATGCGTCTGCCCCGCCGCCCCTACACCTCCTCCCACCACTCCCGAAGCCCCTGCACCATGATACACACCTCCCAGCCCTGCTCCACCACTCCCCACCGCTCCTCCCACCCCAGCCCCCACGGCAGTAGGATAAGCCGGAGCCGTGGGGTAAGCGCCACGATACACAAGTGGTTGACGCAGCCTACCCTGCCCTCCACCTCCTCCTCCGCCTCCTCCGATTCCTACTCCCGCTCCTCCGAATCCTCCTCCTGCTCCTCCTCCCATTCCTCGACCCATGCCTCCTGTGATGTAATCGTCGTCATCCTCTGCCTGGCTCGCATCGTCCTGTGCCGCACGTAGCATCATCGCGACCAGCAGTGCCGCTACCTGATGATGGGGAGGTGGAGGAAAGGGGCGGGAAAGTGGACAGGAGAACAGAAGAACGGGAGAGTGCAGTGCTGGGTTGAAGGGATGTGGATAGGAGAGACAGGACAGCAACAGGAGGCAATGCAGAAGAAACTCACTTAACGCAAGGACAGACTCACAGCAGCACATTCCTTTCCAGACGCAATGCAGGAACGCATGCGCTCCACTTTTGCTTTCACATGACGCATACCTCAGTGAGAACAAGGCCAGACATCGGCGAGTTTTGAGTCGACTGAAAACTGGCAAGTCCCACTTTAACTTGCACATGCCACATACCTCAATGAGCACGAGGCCAGCCATTGCCAGCCTGCTTCTGTCTTGGTTCGCCAGGACGTAGCGTTGGTACGTGTCGTACTCGCCTGTCGGGTCGACAGGCACGTCCTGGATGCAGGGAGAAGACGAGGGGGAGGGGAAGTGGAAGAGAGAGAGGGGAAGGGAAAGCGGGAAGAGGTTGGGGGGGTTGGGACGGGGGGAAAGGCTACAGCATGCGGCGTTAGCATTTGTTTTTTTATTTTCTTAGTTTTTTTTCCTTGATGGAGGAAGGTTGCGAGAAGTAAACCAAGTAATCTCAAGTGTGAAAGCCGCATTTTCGATGCAGATCCACAACCCCACCTGTTGCGCAGAATTAACCCCCCTGATGTTGAAGGCTTTCTGAACTCACCTGAGGGCCTTGTGAAGCCATGCCAACCTACCTCAAGCCAAATGAGTGCTGTTGCGACGCACTCGAACAGTATCAGAAGACACAGACCGAACTGATACTGCACGCAGGGGTAATTCAAAGGGGGTCGCGACGGAGTAAGGAGAAGGACACGGAAAGGGAAAAACGGTTGGAGACTGTAAGAACAGGGGAGGCGAGGGTAGGTGCCTGACAGGAATACTAAATGGTGGTGAAATGGAAAAAGGAACAGCGTAAGTGGGAAGAGGGGAAGGGCAGGAAAGAAGGGTGGAGTGGAGTAGGAGGAGGGAAAGGGAATGGAGGGAATGAAAGGGCGAGAGACGGGAGAGGCAGGAGGGTGAACAGGAGGAATCAAATGGGGCGAAAAATGACATAGAAAGAAAAGAGGATGACAAGAGCAGGAGACAATGTGGAGAGAGAGAAGAGCGACGAATGAGAGGAGCAGACTTACGAAGGCGAGACAGAACGTGCTGTTGGTCTCCGCGGCTATGGCACCCACTAAAGTCACAAGCGTGAGAAACGCACCCACTCCAATCATGAGGTAGATGAACCTGGGTGGAGCGACGGAACGGATAGATGATCAATAGACTGTGATTTGGTACCGAAACAGGAGAATGGATTGAGAAAAGGCCGTCACATGTGCTGAGTATAAAAGGCGGAAACATAGACGTTGACTTGTAAAAGGGCAAACAGTAATCTCATCCCCTTGATCTCCAGTCATCTCCACCCTGCGAACGGCATTCATCAGGCCCACCAGGCAATCATCGGGCACCACGAACGCCGAGTCAACCTACCAGAATCGCGGTAGCTCGATCTGCGGCGGGGCAGCAACGACCGAAGCACCACCTCCGCTGCTCGCACCGTCATGTGCGGCAATGCTACTCGCGCCGTCCCGCGTGTCGATTTCGAGAAGGGACACGCCTCGCTCAGCACCCAACGCCGCGGCGAGTTTCCGCGTGGCCGCGAATGTCTGCCTTGACGCCACGCTCTGCAGGATCGTTTCTTCGGAAATTAGACCGTTTGCGGAAGCAGGACCCGGCGCGGGAGCAGGTGGAGACGGTGGCGGAGATTGCGGAGGGGGAGGCGGAGAGTGGAGAGGCGGAGGGGGGGAGTGACGAGGAGGAGGCGGAGAGTGAAGTGGGGGAGGGGGAGAAGTGGGGGGAGTGAGCGGAGGCGGAGAAGGGGGAAGGAGCGGAGGGGGTGCTGGAGGGGGGAAGATGTCCGGATCTAGACGAAGGAGACGGGAAATGGAGAAGACGAGGAGGAGCACGCCGACGAGCGCGAGCGCGAGGTTGAAGAGCTTCAATAAGCACTGCAGAAATCCACGACACGCCATGGCTGCTACCGCTGCCGCTGCTGCTGATGATGCTGCTCAGTCGGCTATCGAGACGACGCTGAAAAAGAAGCACGCGATCTGGAGAAAATGGGTGTGGAAGAAACAGCGGACTTATGCACTTGGTTACGGTTAGAACCCAGCTCAGATCGGCGGTGCTACTGTAACGGATAACACTTTTCAAGCAAGCGGATGAAGCGCTTCAACTCTGTAGAGGCTCACTCTAACTAACGGGCGCTGAAGCGTAATATCAGGAGGTCACTGGACCTACTGAAACTGGCTTAGGTATAACTAGGTCACGGCTTATCAGTCGTCGCTGTTCGCACAAGGTTTGTCCGACGGTATTCCGGCCGCACGGGAAGATTGGCTCTGCTGATTGGCGCTCGATGGTTTCCTACCGCCAACAGCACTGCAGTAACTAGTCGCAGACGGTTGGCGACGCCCCAGGGCTTGGTGAAAGTCGTTTTCGTCGTGTATTGCGCAAGTCGCACGATGCTGCGACAAGGAGGCGAGATCCTTCGCTAGCCTGAAACGTGCCACGAAATCTTCAAAATATGCCCTTGAAGCTGCAAGGAGCGAGTGTACTTGAGCCGTATAGTAATCTACCACTAAAATTAGTTAGATGTTCTTCCACAAACCTTACACATGTACCTGCATGGAAACGTATAAATGATTTATTTTTTGTCATAAAGTGTTCTTAATATTAATAATTGTGGTTGTTTATTCTGGGGGTATTTTTTAGAGTGACGTTAACAGTATGAATCCTAAATTAAAATCTGAAGGGGAATATATTTTTATATTCCACACCCATTATTTGGTACATAAAATGATTCAGGCTAGTCTAGAGTGTTGGAATAACCGAAAGGTTATATAAAGCATTCCCGAAGCTGTTCCACTGTACCAGTACCGCAATAGCTCATATAGAGCATGCGGAATGTCGAGGGTCACCCGAAGGTCAACCGTCTGAGGAAGTCAACGGTCGTGACCCTTGACAATCCAGTAACCGCGCGACAGTTAATTCACTGCAACATGGTAACTGTCTAGGATAGCAATAGTCACGGTTACTGTAGCTATGCAATACAGTTAATAAGGGAATGTACCCCTCAGAGTACATGGCTAGCTAGATTTCTATTTAATCTCTTGTACTCCTATCTTTCAATCATCTTGTTCTCTTTCAATTATTACACAACAAGGTCACTACAGCGACTTCATTGTCTCCTCTCAGACTTAACAGATTCTATCCTATCCACTGGATCCTTGGTTATATCAGCATGGTATCAGAGCTAGAGTGGATTATACGATCTGTCAAGTCCTCGTTCTTCTCAGAACAATCCCTTAATAAAGTTATTCATTACACCTCAAAGTCTGCAATACTATGGCTCCTGAAGGAAAAGTTACTGCAGACTCACCGGGCCCACCACCAGCAACGACTAACGCGCCATCAGCGGTGACCTCCGTCAGCGCCGCTGTCGTTGAGGAGCTAGTCGCACGCATCAACGCCCTTGAAAGCCATCAAGCAATGAGCGTTGACGGCTCAAGCTATGCACGTGGCGTTGCTGGACTTCCTCTCCCTGGAGAAGACCGCCGCGTCAACTCCGAGAGATCCTTCACCTTTGACAATCGTCAAGGGTCAGCTCCTGCACAAGACAACCCACAGCGCTCACAGTCATACATTGCCTCAATGCAAACCAAATTTGTATTGACTTCAAAATTGAAGACCTCAATTCCTTTCGACGGAAAGGATTTCTACACGTGGAGTTTCGAATTCGAGCTTCTCGCGACAACCGCTCAAATCTGGATGTACTACGACGGAAGCCTACCTTTTCCCTCGGAAGGTACCATCCAGGAGAAGCATCAATACTACCACGAATCCCTCCTCGCGTACACCGCTCTCCTTCGCAATCTCTCACCTGAAGAGCAGCTCGGCATTCGCCCTTATAAGACGGAGTGGGCTCCCGCGCAAGCCTCCTGGGAACACCTGCGCAACTCATACATGGCAACAGATCCAGTTACGATGAGCCGTCTACTCAGCCAACTGACTTCGGTTAAAATGAAGCAAGGGGAGAAAGCGGGACCGTATGTCAACCGGTGCCGCAATCTGCGTGACCAAGTCAAGAAATGCGGTGGGACTGTCCCCGACGACATGTTCATCTCGATGGTCATCTCTGGCCTCGGCCCCGACTGGCGACAATGCCAGTCACTCCTTCGCGCCCGAGCAACCATATCAGAGTCAGCTCTGTGCGCCACGCTTCTTTCGGAGCAGAAGGAAATCGACCTGTACAACGAGAAGATTGTTAAACGGGAGAAATTAGTCTTCTACACAGGAGCATCACAAGGGGAACAACGCGGAAAGAAGGGAGCTTTCTGCAAATACTGCAAGAAGTCTGGCCACTCTATCGACCAGTGCTACAAGCGTCAGGCCGCTGACGAGCGGCGCAACGCCTCCAACCAACAACCATCGACGCAGACAAAGCCCTCCGCCACTGTGTCGCCTCCTTCCGTCACCAGCACTTCACAATCCCCTGCACTCATCACGGCGAAGGACAAAAGAAAAGGAACAATCATAAGCTGCATGGCTCGACGCAACAGAGGGTCCCGTTACTGGGATCGAGTAGCATTCACTCGCGACAATCCCATCAACCCCGTTGCGCCCAGTCCAGACAATGACCCAACAGCTTTTACCTGGTCCTCTCGCCCCTCAGACATTCCTCCTGACTTCGAGCTCCCTCCCCCTACTCCGGAATCGCCGCCGAGCATTTCCGCAAACAGATATTTCGCCCTCTCACCGTACACCGGCGACCTTGATCGCATCGTCACACCCAAGATTGCCAACCTCGCCCGCCAGCGCTACGAGGATCTGGACACGTGGTACCTCGACAGTTGCTGCGGACAACACATGGTGGGATCGCCAAAGTTCACCAGCAACTCTCGACGCATGCGACGACCCTGCGAAATCACCGCCGCCAACAACGGAAAAATGAAGGCATATGAGATTGGCGAAATCTACCTCGAGGTCGATGACACGAAGTTCACCATTCACATCGGGGACGTTCTCGTCGCCCCTGACCTACAATACAACTTACTCTCATCAGCTCAACTCATGCGGTGCGGAATCGACATTCGCAGCAATCGGAAGGAAAAGACCTTCGAGCTCTTCCACAACGAAACTTACATCGGAAAGGCGATCGATGATGATGGAGTCTTCGTGCTGCAATTTTCGGCTCAGGGCACCACCGGCGACTCCCACCGCACACTGCTACTGAAAACAACTCCCACGGAGCCACCAACATGGTCACATCCCGACGAGATGGACCTCGAGCGACCAGCCTCCGACGGCCTTCTACGCTTGCGCACTGTCCTGACTACCTCGACCTCCAACCCCGCAGAAACAGGACCTGCCACAATGGAAGAAGACAGCGGCACGTCAGGACCTGCAACTCAACCAACCGAGGAAAACAAGACAGCGGAGACACACTGGCCGGGCTGGAACACTTCCGAGCCCGCGCTCGGACCCTGGGGAGAAGTACTAACTCCAGAAGAAGCAACCGCAGGTGGGAGGGGCGCAGTTCCAGCAGAGGAAGTTGGCGCAACAGTAGGAGAAGCAGTTGGAGAAGCAGAGACCGCTGAAGACACATGGGGCGCCAGAAGAGGATGGGACACCACGGCCGAAGCAGAACAAGGGCACGCGGAAGCAGCTGGTTTCCCTCCTGCGGAAGTTGCCGTCGTCGACCCATACTGGGCAACTCGCGGCACCTGCTGGGGAGGTCCACCTCTCCCATATCAATACGCCCCTGACACACCCGAGCAAATGGCAAAAGAGTCAGAAGAAGAAGAAGCCTACGAATTTATGGGAGAACCAACAGAGTTACCCAAACCTACCGAGGAGCCGAAGCCGTCAGTACAAGGACCACAAGAAATTGAGGTCATCGGCGCTGAATACAGTTACTTCAGAATCCCCGTGAAGGGACTCCCAGTTCGGGAATGGCCCAACCAATGCCTGCTCGTTACCGGAGACCAAGTCGAAGCCGGCGACACCGACGACATCATCGGTATTCCCCGCGTGCTTCTGGAGCGAAAAGCAATTCGCGCGCTCGCCGCCGACACTGACTCCGCCACCGACGCAGGACCTGAAGGGGAGGCAAACGACGAAGCAGCGCGACAAAAATATTATCAAAAGACAGTCGGTTACCGTGCGGACCCACAAACATGGCACCAACGGCTCGGCCATCCCTCCCACGCCACGCTCAAAAACTCGCTCAAAGCCGGAGTCTTCGACAACGACGCGCTCCTCCTTCCTCGAAACGGTTCCCTTACCGCGGACTCACCTAACCCGCCATGCATCGTCTGCCCAACCGCGTCGCTCAATCACCAGCCGTTCCCCGATTTGCCCCCAGGGTATGAACGCTACAAGCCGCTGGACAAGGCTTACAGCGACTTTATGGTGCTCAGCCAGGAGGGGCTCGACGGGGAGCAGTACACACTTACCTTCATCGACGCATCTACTCGCTACGTCTGGGCCGTCAACACCGACAACAGGTCTCTGGCCTTCGAGTGCTTCATTGCGTGGATGAAGCGGGCTGAGCGAAAGTCCGGTCTCAAACTCAAAACCTGGCAGACGGACGGAGCCCTGGAGTTCTTCTCAGACGAGTTCAAGGAGCTCCTCAAGCAGAAGGGGATTGAGCACCTGGTGTCCCTGCCCTACGCTCACCAACAGCAAGGAGTAGCAGAACGGACAAACAGAAGCCTCGCCACGCGGATGAGGGCCCTGATGAAGCAGTCGGCCATCCCAACAAAATATTGGCCGTTTGCGATGAATTACGCTGTTCGGCTGCACAACTTGCTGTCCTCGCGAAGCCTCGAGAACAACAACTCTCCCTACCGGGCATGGACGGGCAGAAAAGCAGATACACGCCTGCTTCGGGTGTTTGGCTGCATGGTACAGTACAGACCCCACACTGCGAGAACCGGAAAATTTGCTGACCGGGCAAGATGGGGTCTCCACCTCGGGATCGAGAAGGAATTCAAGGCGTGGATCGTGCTGGACTACGCGACACACGAGGTGACGAAATCACGTGACTGCATCTTCTACGAGAAGCTGACTCTGCCCCTTTTTAAGAAGCACCAGGAAGCCGACAAACTTCCCGAGAGGCTCTTCGAGGGCCACCGCAGCTTCGCCACGTCACACGACGAAGCTGACCTGGCCGAGGATGCAGACGCACCTGATGTCACCCCAATGGACTCCGCTCCGAGCATCCCCCTCACAAGCCAATTTGGGACTCCGATATTCGTACCTCTACACCAACCCGATCCTAACGATACAACTCGCGCGGCTCATGACTACAACAGTGAGGCGCGCCGTTCACCTGATGCCGGGTTACCACAACCCAACATGTCGCAGGATACCCTCCGCCTCGGCAACGACAGCGATGACGACGTGGTCAAAGTTACCAGCTTCCACGACTATGACCGACTTCACTACGAAAAGACTGACGAAACCGGTCTCCGCGTTCTCGGCCTCGCCGTCGCTGTTCGCTGCACCTCGCCCAAGGAACCAACCACCGTCCGCCAAGCCCTATCTGGCCCCGACAGTGGAAAATGGAAAGCAGCCATGGCCGCCGAAATCGCATCGCTGAAGAAACGTGGCACCTGGAAGTTGGTCCCTCGGTCATCGGCAAAGGGGAGAAAAATTCTCAGCGGCAAATGGGTTTTTCGTATCAAAACTCTCGTAGATGGCTCGGTCGACAAGTACAAGGCGCGTTGGGTAGTGCGGGGATTTGAGCAAACACACCTGGTGGATTTCACTCTCACCTACGCTCCAGTCGGCCGCCACACCTCGGTACGCATTCTCATCTGCATCGCCGCCGTCAAACAGCGACCGCTCCGGCAAATCGACGTCGGCAGCGCCTTCCTCTACGCTCCCGTCGATGCCATCATTTTCGTCGAGCAGCCGCACGCATTCGAAGAAAATGACGGCGCCGTGTGCCTCCTCCAAAAATCCCTCTACGGAATCAAGCAGGCGCCTCGTCTATGGCAGCAGTACCTCCATTCCGTCCTCCTTGAGCTCGGCTTCACTCAGCTGCCGCACGACCTCGGAATGTACAGGCGGGAATCGCGCGGGAAATTCGTACTCCTCGTCGCCTACGTCGACGATCTTCTCTACACCGGCGACGACACGGAGCTGCTGGACCAGTTTGAGGCTGACATCAAAGAGAAACTGGAGGTGACAATCAACCACAACGTCACCCAGTTTCTCGGCCTCAATGTGACTCAGTCCGCCTCCTCCATTCACCTCTCGGCCGCCAAGTACGCCGAAACACTCGCGAAACGCTTCTCCATCGCACCAATCAATCTCACTACCCCCTATCGCACTCCTCCTCCTAACCACGAGCCAGACACCACACCGCTCTCTCCTGACAACCATCGTCTCTATCAGCAGCAGTTGGGATGTCTCCTGTTCGCCGCCGTCACGTGCCGGCCCGATCTCTCCTACGTCGCAAGCCAGCTCGCACAGTACCTGAAGCGACCTGAAGGGGAGAATCTACTGGATCTACGCCGAGCACTACAGTACTTCATCTCCACTCTCGACGTCGGTCTCACCTACGAAGCTAACCTCACCGCTACTCTACAGCTCCATGGCTACGTAGATGCCGACCACACTGGAGATGTCGACAACAGACGCTCCCGCACAGGATTCATTTTTCAACTCCAACCTGCCGGACTCATCTCCTGGAACTCTCAGAAGCAGGAACTTATCGCTCTCTCGTCAGCAGAAGCAGAATTCATCGCAGCTAGCGCAGCTGTTCGCGAAGGACTGTACTGGTGGAGCTCCTGCAAGAAGCGAAAGTGACGATGAACGGGGCACTTCACGTTACTCTGCGACAATCAGAGCGCGATAAAGATCGCGAACAAGCCCGGCTTCGTCAACCGCACCAAGCACATCGCCCTTCGCTACTTCTTCGTGAAGGATGAAATCGACAAAGGGAAAGTCAAGCTGACGTACTGCCCGACTGGTGACATGGCAGCTGATTTCTTGACGAAGAAGCTGCCACGTCAGCAGTACCAACGCTGCGCCGACCTCTGCGGGATCACCAAGAAATACCACGTGGCCCACCTTCAGGAATGAAGGGGAGTGTTGGAATAACCGAAAGGTTATATAAAGCATTCCCGAAGCTGTTCCACTGTACCAGTACCGCAATAGCTCATATAGAGCATGCGGAATGTCGAGGGTCACCCGAAGGTCAACCGTTTGAGGAAGTCAACGGTCGTGACCCTTGACAATCCAGTAACCGCGCGACAGTTAATTCACTGCAACATGGTAACTGTCGAGGATAGCAATAGTCACGGTTACTGTAGCTATGCAATACAGTTAATAAGGGAATGTACCCCTCAGAGTACATGGCTAGCTAGATTTCTATTTAATCTCTTGTACTCCTATCTTTCAATCATCTTGTTCTCTTTCAATTATTACTCAACAAGGTCACTACAGAGACTTCATTGTCTCCTCTCAGACTTAACAGATTCTATCCTATCCACTGGATCCTTGGTTATACCAGCATAGAGGAGCAAAATATGAGATGTAATCGTGCACCATGGAGGCAAATGAAGCATTGGCAGCTGGAAGAATCAATATTGAGAGAAGGTAGTACATCTGGAACTTTGCTGGTGTACATGATATCACGCGGCTCAATAATGGGAAATCCGAGAACACTCAGCACGGGTGGAGGTGTGAGTGTGTGCGTGAAGACCGCGGACGACAGCATTCACCCCCTAAACCCGCCGCTAGTTTTTCAGAAGCACCCAAGTTTCAGCTGAAGCAACGCTTGCAACGATTCTTGCCACGGTTGCCACGCTCAGGCGTCAGCTGACAGAAATTCGCCATGGAGGATCGGTGAGACATGCTATATTCGCGGACAAATGGTAGAATTTATGGCAGACAGTATTCACATGTCTGGGTCCTGTCCTGTCGAGTGCGAAATTAAGATAAATAGTTTTCTACGTTAGAATCTTGCGTTCAACGCGTCGTCCGCTTCCTCTCACCACGTCCCGTATGCGTAGGTTCAACACACCTACTACTAACGTCATAGAGCTCGAGGCCATGGGACATCGACTCCGGGTTACCCAGGTAAATTCACGAGGATAGTTCAGGCTAATTCCAAGGTTTGTTCAGGCAAAGTCTCAGGGTAATGTTTATAAGAAGCCCAGAAAACCTAAAAGTGCGTTTATCCACCCCAATCCTCCTCACGAACTCACAATCACCGTCCGCCCTTCCCGAATTTCTCCGAACCCTTCCACCCTCCTCCCCAAGCTCCTCTCCTTTTCCCACCGCCTCTTCCTCTCCCTCTCGCTCCCTTTCTCCACCTCCCTTTCCCCCGTCCTCTTCCCCTTCGCTTTCTCCTGCACCAGGACCCCAATTCCAAGCACGTGGGCACGACTGTGTGGGACTCCAGCATTGTCGTCCTCAAGTACCTGGTCCGCTCTCCCCACTCCACTTCCCTGCACTCCATGTCTTAGGCACCTCAAACCTCCATGTTTGAGGCGCCTGAAACCTAAACCTCTAACCTTAAACCTGAACCTCGAAAAATCGTCTCCACGCACGTGGGCGCGACAGTGTGGGTCGCCACGCCAGCATTGTCATCCTCCTCGAATGCCTGTCCGTTCTCCGTTCTCTCTGCACCCAGCTGAACTTGAACCTTCCTTTCTTACCCCCCCCCCCCCCCCCCCTCAAACCCTACATTCCATTCCCTCCCTCCGGCCCTCATTCTCACCTACTTGCGTGCCGGTTTCCTTGGTCTTGCTCAATCCCCCAAATCTGCCTCACTTCACAGCACTACACTACACACAGTCTCTGCTTTCCCTCCCCCTCCTCTCCCTACTCCCCCCTCACGTCCTCTCCCTTCCGGCACGACCACAGGAGCGGCACAGTAACAAGGGGGAGTTTTCCCGGGCAAAGCTCAAGGGCAAGCGGGCCATAGAGCTGGGGGCTGGCTGTGGCCTCGCTGGCTTGGGTGAGCTTGCATGCGAGGTGCTGTGAGGTGTGTTGTGGTGTGGCGTGGTGTGGCGTGGTGTGGCTTGATGCGCCTATAGGAGGCACAGCAACAAGGGGGGGTTCTCCCGGGCGAAGCTCAAGGGCAAGCGGGCCATAGAGCTGGGGGCTGGCTGCGTCCTCGCTGGCTTGGGTGAGCTTGCACGCGAGGTGCTTGGTGTGCCGTGCTATGGCGTGGCGTGGCGTGGCGTGGCATGGCGTGGCGTGGCGTGGCGTGGCGTGGCGTGGCATGGTGTGGCGTGGCGTGGCGTGGCGTGGTGTGTTCTGTCTTGAGTTCAAAAAGGTTGGAGTTTTTTTTCAAGTTCCCTTTTTCTAGTCCACTTGAGAATCACTCTCTAAGCTCAAGGGCAGGCGGGCCACCCCCCCTCATCATGGCAGGGTTTGCGCTGCTGGGGTGTGACGTGGTTCTGACAGACGAGGCGTTGGTGCTGCCTCTGCTGTTCACGCCTCAATCGCACCAATTGATATAACCGCCACAACCCCCCTCGTCATGGCAGGGTTTGCGCTGCTGGGGTGTGACGTGGTGCTAGCAGACGAGGCGCTGGTGCTGCCTCTGCTGTTCACACAGCAGCAATCGCACTGTTTTTACTCTTTTATAAAACGGCCACACCCCCCCTCATCATGGCAGGGTTTGCGCTGCTGGGGTGTGACGTGGTGCTGACAGACGAGGCGTTGGTGCTGCCTCTGCTGTTCCGCAACGTTACCCGCCTGCAGTCCCAGGCCGCCATGGACGCTGCTGCTGACTCCTTCCTCGGTGCGTGCCGTGCCGTGACTGTAATGTGCGCTGGGACCCAGCGGCTGGGTGGGCAGGTGGGTGGGAAGGTGGTTGGTGTTGGGTGCTGGGTAGTGGTTGGATGGATGGTGGGTGGTGGCTGGATGCCCGGTTTTGGAAGGTGGGTGGTGGTTGGATGGGTGGAATGTGGATGGTGGATGGTGGATGGTGGAGGATGAGTGGTGGATGGTGAATGGAGTTAGTTTTGGAGATTTTTTACAGACCGGATTGTGGGTGGAAGTGTACGGCGTCTCTACTTGCTAGTGCAGTGCACCACTCATCCCTTATGACGTGTGTTTGCATGTGTGTGTGCATGTGTTTGCGCGTGTGCGTGCGTGCTTGGGCGTGCATGTGTGCGTACGTGTGTGTGTGTGTGTGTGTGTGTGTGTGTGCATGCATATGTATATCCGGGCAGGCAGTGTGGGATCAGTGGAGGTAGCAGAGCTATGGTGGGGCAACGCACATCACATAGCCCAAGCCGGCCCGCCTTTTGACGCCATCGTTGCCACTGACGTGGTCAGTCCCTCCCTTATCTCCTCCCATTTATGAGTCCACTCAAAAACAGGCTCATCACACGCCATCGTTGCCACTGGCGTGGTCAGTATCTCCCTTCCCTCCTCCCATTTTCCCTTCCCCTGTCCCCGGCCCCCCCTGTCCCCGCCCACCCCCACCCCTCCCTCGCCCCCCACCTGTTCCCCTTTCCTTCTCTTTCTCCCTCCCTTTCTTTTCTTTACCCTTTCGCTAGGCTCATCCTGCTATACTCTCTCTTCCACTTCTCCATACCTCCTCCCTCCTGTGCTTGCACCTGACATTCCCCCTCATGTTCACCTTTGCGTTTCTCCATATGTTTATCTGCTTGTTTACCCATGAATCCACCCACGTGCCCATACACCCACGTGCCCATCCACACCAGGTGTATGTAGAAGACTCTGTCCCGGCTCTCCTCGCAACCATGCTTGCTCTCTCCCATCCCCGCACTCCCATTCTCGTAAGCTCCTAACTTCCCTGCTCCGCCCCTTCGCTTTTAATTCTCGAAACCCACGTCGTCCCAGCGCTCTACCCTGCAGCTGAATCTTCGCACCACTATGTAATGCTCCCGCTTAAGTCTTTCTGCCGCACATCACGGTATCAGATGCCCATCGACCTCTCTTTTCCGTCCTCATTTCACCATTCGCCCTCCTCCCACTTCTCCCTTCACTCCTTCCCCTCCACTCTTCTCTCACCGTCCGTCCACCTCTCTCGCCTTCCGTTTCTTCCCCGTGCATTGAGGTGTATTTTGAGGCGCCTCAAAATACTCCTCTTCTCCCTTCACTCCTCCCCCTCCACTCTTCTCTCACCGTCCACCTCTCTCGCCTTCCGTTTCTTCCCCTTTCACACACCCAAATGCCTCTTCCGTGCGTCTGTGCAGCTTGGGTATGAGTTCCGCTCGGCCACAGTGCATGACCGCCTGCACGCATACGCGAAGCAGATGTTTGACGTCAAGAAGGTCCCTGCTACCAAGGTCAGCCTTGAAAGCCTCGAGCCTGTCTTGTCACTCTTCATGTCTCCCCCCTAACCTGTGTGTTTTGAGTCGACTCGAAACACGCCAAGCAGATGTTTGACGTCAAGAAGGTCCCTGCTACCAAGGTCAGCCTTAAGAGGCTCGAGTTTGTCTCGTCGTCGCTCTTCTGATCTCCCTCTCCCCCCCCTTCCTTCCTCGCATTACTAAAATCTGGTATTCCCCTGATTTCAAGCTTTCTTCTTTAACTTGCTTATCTCTGTCTCTCTCTGTACACTAATTTTTTATCCTGTTCTGAAGAATGTTCTGTGGCCACCTTTTGTGTGCTTGTGTGCATGTGTGGATGTGTCCTCAGCTCCATGCAGAGTACCAACACCCGTCCATCGATGTGTTCATCATGAAACGCAAGGCCGCGCCCACACTGCCTGTATGTGCCTTCCTTACTGCCTTTCTGCAATCAACCCACTGTGCCTGCACTTCCTGCACTGCCCGCACTGCGTTTTGCTGCAACTGCCGAGACTGTCAAGATTGCCAATACTGCACACTTACCTCATTGCGACTGCGTCATCATGTTTTGTAGCACTGACCTCCTGTGTCCCCATTTATCTATACATTGCAGACCTCATTCGCTTACATGGCCACCCACCCTCTTTCTATTGCCTTTTAACAAGCACCAGAATCTCTTTGACTCTCATTCGTCACTGCCCCTCCCGCCCCTAACTTTCCCCCTCTTCCTCTCTCCGCTAACTTTTGTGCCGTCCAGCCTGAAGTGAGAACGATTCTTGAAGAGGTGCAATTCGTGATGACGAATCAGGGCCTGCCATGTGTCCACATCACCAGCCTTCTAGACAGCACAGCAAAACCAGGAGAATCCCCTAGCAAACAACATCCAGAGCAAGGGGACAAGGAAGAAGTTCCCGAGGAGGTTGTAGGGAAGAGAGATAGTTCGCAAGAGGAAACAACGGAAGAGGAAGACGAGGAGGGGAGGAACGGAGGAGGGGAGAGTGAGGGAGACGGTGTGTTTGCTCGTCCGTCAGTGGACGAGTTTTTCCCAAGCCCGTGCGGCCAAGATGACCAGATATTTGCTCGCAAGGTTCACCAGGAGACGCTTGCAAGACGAGGAGAGAGTGAGGGGGGGGCGTTGCCATCGAGTCAAGAAAATGGGAGTGAGGAGTGGGAAGAGCGGAGATCAGGAGCCATGGCTGCAAGATTACTAGCGGATGTGAAGGTCCCGTCCGGTTCCAGTGGGTGACAGGTTTTTGAATTCTCTATCTTTATTCTCTCGTAAAATCTCTCCATGGCATTGTTGCCCATTCTATCAAATTCAGGATTCTTTGTTGGAGTTAAAAGCTTATGTATTTCGAATTCTCCTTTAACAGTGAAACTTCAATTCTTCCCGGGGTGTACTGCTTCTAAACGAAGCAGATTGAAACCGATACTTTCCGCTGAAAAGCCAGCACAGTTCGCGGCCGAATCGATGATCGTTGGCGCAATGAGTGGCACCAGCAAGCCACACAACGCGCGGCAATCTCGAGAAACACCAGCAGCAGGGCAGTAGGAGGAGCAGGAGACGTTGAGGCACGACCGTCTGCCACGACCAGTGTGCCTAAGGCTGAGAAGAGTCGAGGCTTTACACATGCTAGATTGTTAGGACCTTTCACTGTCCAAAGTGAACGACTGAAGAGGACAAACTCTCATTAGCCCAAAGAAGAGCCGCTTGTCCTCTAATAAGTCTGCCGTCGCTTCGATTTCTTTTCTTCTGTTGATGTGTTGAGCTCGCGGCGATGGCCGGGCCAGCAGCCAGCCACGTCAGCGTAAGCGAATTGCGCGAAGCGACGGGCGAGGAAAAAGCGACGACGCCACTCGCTGACGAGCCTTCGTCGTCGTACAGGCCGCTGGAGGAGCCTCTGCTTCGGCATTCCCAAGGGCGCAACGCGGAAGGAGGACTGCGGGGAGAGCAGCAGCAGCAGCAGCAGCAGCAGCAGCAGCAGCAGCAGCAGCAGCAGCAGCAGCAGCAGTATCAGGGCCTCTTGCCGACTCTCCTGTGGTGCTGCTTCGCGTGTCTTGGCGCCTTCTCTTTCGGATATGCGGTGAGGGAGATGAATGGCGGAGGGACGGAGAGAGAGAGAAAGCGAGCAGGGGAGATGGGCTTTACCTCACGCGTTTTTCGCTCCCCGAGATGGGGGTTATGCCTCCCAATTCCTCCCCTCGTTCTCCGCGGATCCGCCCCTCACGCTATCATTTCCCCTTTTCTCTTCTCCGCCTCCCCCCCCCCACCCCCTCCCCTCTCACGTTGACATATCTTTCTCGGTCTCTTGCTCCCCTTCCCCTTTCCCCCTTACCTCCCAATCCCTTTCTTCCCTCAACCTCCCCATTCCCCCGTTTCCCCCGCCTCCCATTCCCCCTCCCCCGCTCCCGCCCCCCTTTCCTCTCCGCTCCCCACCCCCGCAGGTGGGCTACACCTCCCCCGCGCTCGCCTCTCTCTCCGCGGACCTGCGCCTGCCCCCCGCGCTCGCGTCGCTCTTCTCCTCGCTCATAACAGTGGGCGCAATGCTGGGGGCGGTGGGCGCGGGGGCAGTGGCGGAAGGGGTGGGGCGCAGGGGGGCGCTGGCGCTGGCTGCGCTGCTGCTGGCGGCGGGATGGGGGGGAATAGCCTTGGCGCAGGTAGGAAGCAGTGGTGATGCCTTTCTTTCTTTCTTTTCTTTCTCTTTTTTATTTTTCATCTTCTTTCTTCTGTGTTTGCAAAACCAGTTTCCACCCAGAGGTATAGCCTTGCCACAGTTCTTCTGCTGCACACATGCACATGCATATAGTCACTTCACCATTCAGTCATTTACCCATACAGTCACTCATTGTCGAACCCTGAAACAGTGAAAGTGCTCCTTGCTTCTCCCTCCTCCCTTCCCCCCGTCCTTTTCCTTCCTCCCCCTCCACACTCCCCCCCACTCCCCTCTTCCCCCCCGCACCAGTCGCTGCCTCTCCTCCTCTCCTCTCGGGTCATCAATGGCCTGGGTGTGGGCCTCGCTTCCTACGTGGTAAGCCTCCGCTTGGCGTAGACCCTCTTGACTGCATTCTGGTTCGTGGTATTGTGCATGGCATCACGCATGGCATCACGCATGGCATCAAGCATGGCATCACGCATGGCATCACGCATGGCATCAAGCATGGCATCACGCATGGCATCACGCATGGCATCAAGCATGCATCAAGCATGGCATCACGCATGGCATCAAGCATGGCATCACGCATGGCATCACGCATGGCATCACGCATGGCATCACGCATGGCATCATGCATGGCATCATGCATGGCATCATGCATGGCATCATGCATGGCATCAAGCATGGCATGACGCATGGCATGACGCATGGCATCAAGCATGGCATCACGCATGGCATCACGCATGGCATCAAGCATGTCATCAAGCATGGCATCACGCATGGCATCAAGCATGGCATCACGCATGGCATCACGCATGGCATCACGCATGGCATCACGCATGGCATCATGCATGGCATCATGCATGGCATCATGCATGGCATCATGCATGGCATCAAGCATGGCATCACGCATGGCATCACGCATGGCATCAAGCATGGCATCAAGCATGGCATCACGCATGGCATCACGCATGGCATCAAGCATGGCATCACGCATGGCATCACGCATGGCATCACGCATGGCATCACGCATGGCATCACGCATGGCATCATGCATGGCATCTGCATGGCATCATGCATGGCATCAAGCATGGCATGACGCATTGCATGACGCATGGCATCAAGCATGGCATCACGCATGGCATCACGCATGGCATCAAGCATGGCATCAAGCATGGCATCACGCATGGCATCAAGCATGGCATCACGCATGGCATCACGCATGGCATCACGCATGGCATCACGCATGGCATCATGCATGGCATCATGCATGGCATCATGCATGGCATCATGCATGGCATCAAGCATGGCATCACGCATGGCATCACGCATGGCATCAAGCATGGCATCAAGCATGGCATCACGCATGGCATCACGCATGGCATCAAGCATGGCATCACGCATGGCATCACGCATGGCATCACGCATGGCATCACGCATGGCATCACGCATGGCATCACGCATGGCATCAAGCATGGCATCACGCATGGCATCACGCATGGCGTCACGCATGGCATCACGCATGGCATCACGCATGGCATCAAGCATGGCATCACGCATGGCATCACGCATGGCATCAAGCATGGCATCAAGCATGGCATCACGCATGGCATCAAGCATGGCATCACGCATGGCATCACGCATGGCATCACGCATGGCATCACGCATGGCATCACGCATGGCATCACGCATGGCATCACGCATGGCATCACGCATGGCATCACGCATGGCATCACGCATGGCATCATGCATGGCATCATGCATGGTGGTTCGTTCTGTTTCGGCTAGAAGGTACCTGGTCTCCCCCCTGCCACACCCCCACCACCATCCCCCTCGTGCCAGTGAACATAGCAGAGGTGGGCCCCCACGCATGGTAGGGCACACGCTGGCCTTTGAGTCGGCTTGAGAGTGTCCTGTCTTCCCTTGGCCTGTTTCCCTCCTGCCTGTTCTCCCTCTTCCACCACGTCCCCCTCCCCCACCCCCCCACCAGGTGCCAGTGTACATAGCGGAGGTGGCCCCCCATGCATGGAGGGGCGCGTTGAGTCGACTAGAGCGTAACCTGTCTCCACCGCGCCTGTGTCCCCTCCCCCCCTCCCCCACCCCCCCCACCAGGTGCCAGTGTACATAGCGGAGGTGGCCCCGCACGCATGGAGGGGCGCGTTGGGGAGTCTGAACCAGCTGGCAATCACGGTGGGCATGCTCGGAGTCTACTCTGCCGGCCTTGCTCTCCCCTGGCGGCCCCTCGCTACTCTCGGTCTGTCGTTCGCTCGCTTGCTCCCTTTAATTTTTTAGGCGCCTCAAAACTTTTTGAGTCTACTTTAGGTGCTTGACAAATAGGCTCTTGGTCAGTCGGTTGCTTGCTTGCTCGCTTGCTCCCTCCTCCGTCTCCACTTCTCGCTCTCTTGCTGCCTGCCCTTCTTCACTCATTCAGGTCGCCCCCCTCATTGCACGTCGTCTCCCCTCTTCCCCACCACATCCCGCATTTCCCCCCTTCCTTCTCATCCCACACACCCTCCCCGCCTCCTTATCCCATGCCTTCCCAACTCCTCTCCACCATCCCAACTCCTTCGCGACCAGGAGCGCTGCCAGCTGTCGCTCTCCTATTGGGCGTGGCAGCAGCGCCGGAGAGCCCTAGGTGGCTGGCCAGGCGGGGAGCGGGGCGAGGGGAGGTGCTGCGGGTGCTGCTGCGTCTGAGGGGTGTGCGTGCTGCTGCTGATGCTGCTGATGCTGCTGCTGCTGATGCTGCTGATGCTGCTGCTGCTGATGCTGCTGATGCTGCTGCTGCTGATGCTGCTGCTGCTGCTGCTGCTGCTGCTGTTGGTGGTGGTGTTGGTGCTGCTGGTATTGTTAGTAGCAGTTGTAGTCCTGCTGCTGCTGCTGCAGTGGCAGCTGAGTGTGAGGAGATATTGCAAGGCGTGCAACAGGAGAAAGGGGGCGAGGAGACAGGAGAAGGCTGGGAGAGGGAGGGCGGGAGCGGCAGTGGTGAAGCAGAGGAGGAAGGAGTGGTGGAGAGTGGTGGAGTGGGAATGAGAGCTGTGGGAGGAGGTAAAAAGGGAGCTGGTAGCAAGGGCGTGTGGGACTTGTCAAAGGAGCTGCTGTTTGGACATGCCAGAAGCCCGTTTGCGGTATGCTGGAGGGGGAATGAATGCGCCCTGGAGGGGGATGGACATGACGTGGGGTGGGGGAATGCTGACATTGTTATGAGTGGCCTATGGACTTGTGTGCATGGTTAGCATTTCTTTTTGAAGTAATGGATGTTTCTCCTATTCCACTCGAGTCCTCTCCTTTCCATCCACACCCTCCACGCACCCCAGAGCCCACACAACCCCCACACTCCCCTTTGAGTCGACTCAAAAGGAGGTGACTTTTGAGTCGACTCAGAACGAGGTGACTTTTGAGTCGACTCAAAGCGAGGTGACTTTTGAGCCGACTCAGAACGAGGTGACTTTTGAGTCGACTCAAAACGAGGTGACTTTTGAGCCGACTCAAAACGAGGTGACTTTTGAGCCGACTCAAAACGAGGTGACTTTTGAGCCGACTCAAAACGAGGTGACTTTTGAGCCGACTCAAAACGAGGTGACTTTTGAGCCGACTCAAAACGAGGTGACTTTTGAGCCGACTCAAAACGAGGTGACTTTTGAGCCGACTCAAAAGTCTCCTTTCCCCCCACATCCTCCGCCCACCCCAGAGCCCTCACAACCTCCACACTCGCCTGATCCTCAAACTGCCAGCTGTGCCGCTTTTGAGAGTTCTCAAAAGCAAGCGACTCAGGTGGATTTGATGGTGCTGCTGTAGCATGCGGGCATCCCTTCTCATTATTCTCTACGTCGCACTAGCTTCCCACATCCCTTCGACACCCCTCCCACGTCCTCCCCTCCCCAATACCCTCGTCGTCATCACCAGCTGACAGCTGTGCATGGGCCTGGCTGATGGTGCTGCAGCAGCAGTGTGCAAGCATCATGTTTCTGAGCATTCTTAATGACTGACGCATGAACTCCCCCACACCCCCCTGACCCTCGTCATCACCAGCTGTGCGTGGGGCTGATGGTGCTGCAGCAGTGTGCGGGCATCAACGCCATTGTCTTCTTTGCAGCGGCCATCTTCCGCAACGCAGGCTTCACCAACCCCAACCTCCCCAGCTTCGGAATCGCTGCCGTGCAGGTAGGACTTTTGAGACGTCTCAAAAGGCTTCGGAATCGCTGTTATGCAGGTACAGCGGAGGGACTGGGTATCAGACTTTGGTAACTAATTAGTGGGCCAGTCTAGTACCATATCATCGCTGCGCCATGCCACGCTGTCTTGCTCATGCCCCTTTTGCGTCATCTCCCTTTCCCCACCTTCCCCCATCCATTCCTCCGCACAGGTCCTTTTCACGGTCTGCTCAGCGCTCCTCCTGGACAGGGCGGGTCGTCGCGTGCTGCTGCTCCTCTCTTCCTCCGGCATGGCCCTCTCCTGCCTCCTCCTCGGCCTCTCCTTCTACCTTCCACACGCGCACCTCCCCTTCCTCCCCGCCTCCTCCGCTCCCCTCCTGGCCTTCTCTGGCTGCATGGCGTACATTGTCTTCTACTCCATGGGCATGGGCGGCATTCCTTGGATTATCATGTCCGAGGTGAGTCAGCGCGAGGAGACAATGGAGCATGGAAAAGGTGCGATCTCTCTCTCTCTCTCTCAAACGGTCCTTTGTATTGATTCAGCAGGGGTACAAAAACATGCAGTGCAATCCATGATAACCTCCTTCCCTTAAGCCCCTTAGCTCACCCCTCTTCCCCCCCCCCCCCTGCCTGCGTGACCCTCTAGCCCTCCAGCGTGTGGAGGATGTCCCCCAGGTGCAGTGGCCAGGGGTCCGCTGCCATCTGGGGGTGCGCTGCCTCGATCCCAGCCCTGGCCTTGATGTGCAGGGCATTCGCTTGGGAGCGCTGGAGGGCCACTGACCAGCGTTGGCTGAAGTGGCAGGCCATCTTCTTGGCCGATTTGGCCAAGGGGTTGGCCCTGAACCTGTTCCTAGCCGCTGCTGTGGCCAGCAGCTTAAGGAACGCTGTCGTGGGGGGCGCGTTTGCCCCGTATTTCTCGACGGCCAGGGCGCAGAACACCACGTGTTCGATGTGCCTGTAGTAGTCCCTCTCCTTCCGCCTCTGTGCCTCCCTTGCAGCCCAGCCTGGGGGTTTGCGGGCTGTGGGGTCCCGGTTCTGCAGCACAGGGTCGGTGATAGTCGTGTCTGTGATCCAGGTCTCTCCACTGTCTGGGTCACGCACCATCACATCGGCCTTCTTCGGGTCATCCGGTGGTGAGTACATTGCATTCTCCAGGTATACCACCAGCTGCGCCTCCCTCGCCATTTTTGCCACGGCAAAGGCCAGTTGGTTGTGTGTGCGCGTTCTGTCCGGGCCTGTGCTGCAGCGGAGTAGGTGGTTGGGTAGGCTGCAGTCGGCCACGAGCTCTCCACACTCGCACACGGTAGGTACGTTCTGTCGGATGCCCATGCGGAAGGCCAGGGCTGTTCGGAATTGCCCTGGTGAGAAGCAGAGGTCTGGGGTCAGGGGTAGGGCTTGCAGCCATGCTCCCGCTCCCTCGCCTCTCAGGCTGACGAGGCGGAGCATGTGGCCCATCTCGGGGGCTGACCTGATTGAGCGTGATTCCTCTGTCAGGGTGTCGGCCTTTGCCGCGTGCACTTCCTGAGAGAGGGCCCGCTGCAGCTGGTCTTGGGACGGGGTTTCTTGCTCCTCACGGAGGTATTGCAGCGCCAGCGGCGGCAGTCGTCCCTCCATGTCTTGGATGGTGACTGAGTGTGCCGCAGACGGCTGCAGGGCGTTGCTGTTGCTCCCTAGCGCCGCGGTTGCTGGCAGGTCGAGTGAGCGGAGCAGGCGTAGTGCCTCTGTCGTTGAGGCCAGGTAGGCTGGTGCTGCTTCTGTTGTGGGATCCGTGAGGCCCAGTCCACCTAGGGCCACTGGGAGGGTTGCTTGGCGGATGAGAAAATTGAACTCGGCTTCGCGGCGGGGTGGTTGGATGCTGGCGGCAGTCAGGGCGGTGTTGAGCAGTTCGGCGCACCACGCGTGCCATTCCGAGAGGGGAAGGACATCCGCTGGGGTGGTGCGCAGCAAGTAGCCGATTCTGCGGCTGATGCAGCGGGACAGGAGCAGGAGGGCATGCTGTGGATGGATGGATGCTAGGGAGCCCAGGGGTGCCGCCGCGTCTGTCAGAGTACTGCGGACCAGGTCAGCGCAGAAGCGCTGTGACCCCACGGGACTTCCCAACACCCGTACCCCCTCGTGGGTGAGTGGGAGGCCCTCGGGGAGCTCGTCACCCTCAAGCGGCGTCGTGGACCACGCCGACGATTTTCTGAGGTTGCAGGTGAGGCCATCCTGTGCGAGCAGCGGCTTCAGCAACTTAAGCGCGCCGAGCGTTGCTGTCGCCGGTCCGATCATGGTGATGTCATCTGCGTATGCTAGGATCGTGACTTCTGGGTGCTCTGCTGCTGTGCGTCTGAGGTGCTGCTGGATTGATGCCGCGAACAGCAGGGGTCCGAGGGGGTCCCCCTGCCTCACCCCCCTTCCGCTGGTAAGTGCCGTCGTGCTCAAGCGGGGATCGGTCAGCAGCTGAGAAGGCGTTGCGTAGAAGGAGCGGGTGAAAGGTATGAGCGGTGCTAGCGGGGTGTTGGTGAGTGCGTTGAAGAACGCTTTCCTCTCTACGGAGTTGAAAGCGTTTTCAATGTCGAGTTGGAGGACTAGGCTGGAAGGTTGTGAAGTGGTGAGGTCTCTGACGGCATGTATAACGAACTCAGCTCCGCCTGGGACTGCCACACCGAATTGTTGGGGTAAGAAAAATCGCCTTGTTTCTCCTTGCAGTTCCGAGAGTGCCACCTTTGCTGCCAACCGGAGTAGGGATTCCCCTATTGCGATAGGGCGTACCCCCCCCTGGTTTCGCGAAGGCGATGAGGCGGGATGGCGAGAGTAGTGCTGCAACCTCGGTGGAAAGATTCGTGGAGAGAAGATGTGTGACGGCGGAGTGTAGGTGCCCCAGCACTTCGATGTTGCTTAGGGCTGGGTCGCGGTAGTGTTCAAATGTTGACCCGGATGGACCAGCCCCAACTCCGCTGGGGCAATCCCCAAGGACGTCTGAGAAACTTTCCGTGGTGCACGAAAATTGCGTGGGTGTTGTGTAGGTGTGGACCCAGTCGGGCAGCTCAACTTGGGGTTGGGGATGTTTCAATTCCAACTGCTGCAATGTTGCGATCGTCGCAGGGGCCGCTGGCGAGGGTGAAAGGGCTGCCAACGCTTTTCGCAGGTTACCCGTTTCACCAGCCCCTCCACACGTGAGCAGATTCCTAGGGGGTCGTTTTGGTGCTGAGGTGGCTCAGCTTGGTGCAGGGACCCCACGTAGTCACTGTAGAGCTGGTTCCAGTGGCCACATCTGAATAGGTGCATCTGCTCTCGCAGCACCTTCCACTTAGAGCTGGACCTCCTGCTAAGTCGTAAGGTGAGACGTGGCAGGAACATGAGGACCCGCCACGCTCCCGCGCAGTTGGGCAGTTTGGAGATCCGTAAGAGGGCGGCCAGCATACAGGTGGAGTAGTCGCTTAGTATCTGCGGCGGCAGGCGGCGGACGATAGGCAGGTGGGTGGTTGACGTTAGGGTTGAAGAGTCCCAGCTCATCGCGATCTCAAAGAGATCCTCCCTCGATGTCAGCTGGGACGCTGACAGGGCTTGGTCCGGAGGGGGTTGGGGTCTGCGGTTCTGTCGGCGTCTAGAACCTCTCTCCTGCTGCTGCGCCTGGTCCTCCCCCGCTTCCGCGAGAGGTGAGTCGGGGTTGTCGGGTTGCCTCAGATCTGACGGTACATATTCGTCGCCGCTCCCTTCTGCGTTTGTATCACCGATTCTCACTGCTTGCGCTATCGTTCCCCCTCTCCCCCCGCGTCTAGCAAACGACTGGCGCGTGACTCGTTCCGCCGGCTCCCCCAACCAGATTGGGCTCGGTAGTTGGCGCGGATTCCCCCTCGCCGCTTGGCCTGCACTCCGCTGTCCTCCGCGCGCTCCTCGACCCCCGCCTCTCCCCCGCGTGCTTCCCCGTCCGCTCCTCGGAGTGGCTGCCACAGGTGCCGCCTGTTGCGCCTGGGAGATCGGCGTCGTCGGCTCCTCTTGTGGCAGTGGAGCGCCCTGAGCGCTCGCCGATGGATTTCCTCGGCGCTCTGGGCCGCGACTGCACCGCGGAGAGCGATCCCGCTCCCCGTCCGCTTCCTCCTGCACGCCCTGCCGCGAGCGTACCTGTTGCTCCGCCGGCGTCCGCTGATCAGATCCGCCGCCGCTTCGAGGACCAGCAGCGCGAGCTGGCTCGGCGCGCGGGCAGGTCCTTGTCACCGCCGGAGCCCCTGCGTGTGGGGTCCGTCTTGCGCTCCGGCGCAGAGGCTGTGGCGCACCAGGAGCGTTCGCCTCGCCGTCGCTCATCGGCAGCTCGCGACGATAAGCGGGAGAGCTGCCGCGATGATCGTCACGGTGCGGCCCGTTCGCCGCTGTCGCCTCGTTCGCCTCGTCGCGTGGCGTCGCGAAGCCGCTCCCGTGACCGCCGCTTGCATCGTCATCGTTCGCCCCCTCACCGTTCATCGCAGCGGTCGCCTGCCCGCCAGACGTCTGGGCGTCGGCCCCCAGCTCCGCGTTCGCCCCCTCCTGCAAAGCGCCAACGGCTCTACTCCCCTCGTCGCGGGGACCGTTTCCCTGGCCGCCAGCGTCAGCAGGGCCCATCTCGCCCGCAGTCGCCTGTGCGCTCGAGCGCAAGTGGGCGTGCGCGTCGTGGGCGACGGGGAGGTGACAGTCGCAGCGGAAAAGCGCGTCCAGCGCCGTCCGCAATGGAGCGCCGTCTTCTGGATAGGCTTGATGACGTGGAGAAGGAGCTTCGTCGCTCGCGTGCGGGTTCGGCGTCACCATCAGCTCCTCGCGCTGCTCCCGTCGTCCCTCTCTCCGCGCTCCTGCCCCACAATCCCTTTGGATCCCCGGCGCGTTCAGAGCGGCCGCTGCCTGCGGGGATGGGCTTCGTAGGTGCTGGTGGCGGGCCGCCGTGGGCTCAGTTTGCTCCGCCGCGTCCTCTTCCTGCTCCGCGTGATCTCGCCGTGTCGTCTCACCGTGCCCGCGCGTCTGCGTTGCTTCCGCCGATGAAGGAAGTTCCCATGGCGACCCTGGCCCGCCTATGGTCGCTGGCGGCGTCCCTGCAGAGCCTTGAGCGGATTCTCCAGGAGTCATTTGACTCCATGCCGGTGAGCCCTCCGAGCAGGTTCTCTCAGAAACCGCGAGCAGATTGTCATGCGGCGGCGTCAGCGCTATTCGCGCTCGTAACGCCACTGCTATTCTCTCTCTCTCTCTCTCTCTCTCTCTCTCTCTCTCTCTCTCTCTCTCTCTCTCTCTCTCTCTCTCTCTCTCTCTCTCTCTCTCTCATTTTCTCTCTCTTGCTCGCTAACTCGCTCGTCTTTTGAGGCGCCTCAAAAAAGGTGAGTCAGCGCGAGGAGACAACGGGGCATGGAAGAGGTGCGTTCTCTCGCTCGCTCGCCCGCTCGCTCACTTGCTAGCTCGCTCAATCTCTCTAGCAGATTATTCCAGTACACATGCGCTTGCTGGCAGGTAGCCTAGTGCTTCTCTGTTTTCGACGTGCCTCATACCCAACCATGCCCTGCGCTGCTCTCACTACCACTACCACTACCATTACCACTCCGCTTACTCGCTCTCATATGTGTCACCTTCTCTGCATATCATTCCACCGCACAAGCGCTCGCTGGCAGGCATTCTCCTGGTGCCCTGCTTTTGACGTGCCTCGACCCTAACCATGCTCCTCTCGCCACACCCGTGTGCTTGCTTTCTCTCGCTCGCTTTCTCTCTCTCGCTTTCTCTCTCTCCCGCAGATCATCCCAGCACACATGCGCTCGTTGGCAGGCAGCCTCGTGGTGCTCTGGTGTCGACATGCCTCGAATCTAACCCTGCCCCTCTCGCCACGCCCTTCTCACCACGCCCCTCTCCCGCTCTGCCCTGCAGATCATCCCAGCACACATGCGCTCGCTGGCAGGCAGCCTCGTGGTGCTCTGCAACTGGTCCCTCTGTTTCCTCATTACGCAAACCTTTGCTGTGCTCTTTGCATGGAGCTCTTACGGTAAGTCCAAGTGTGGGTGGATGGCACATAGGTGAATGGTGCTTTTTTGAGAATTCTCAAAAAACCTACGCTGCACGTAGGTGAATGGTGCCAACCTACACTTTTATTCTGAGAATTCAAAAAACTTCAACGCGCCTCAAAACTCGACGCCTCCGTCCTTGCTTCCCTGTAATTACGGTATCTTCTTGCTTCCAACTGGAATATATTTGCCATTTTCTTGTTCTGGCTCGTTGCGAGCGAATTGTTCATATGACTGAACTTCAGCCCCCCTGTTTTTACCTCCCGCACTTCGTTCTGTGCTCATAGCACTCGTGACTGTATACTTCTGCTCTTCTGCCCTCCCTGGTTTCTCCCCATGTCATATGAACCAGGAACGGTGTGGCTATATGGAACGGTGGCTGCAGTAGGAGTGGCTTTCATATGGTATTGTGTTCCAGAGACCAAGGGCAGGTCTTTGGAAGAAATCGAGGCTTTCTTTAGACCTGAAAACGATTCCTACCAGTAGTCATGGTTGCAGAGTGCTGCTGCCTCGGCTCATATGACGTTCTCGTGGTGCATCTTACGGTCAAATAATGAAGTTGTAAATATTTCGTGATTGAATACCTTAGTTGTAGAAATGATGCTGCTCAAAGCACGGTAAATGCTTCAAAGTATAGCCAATGACAAATATTGTGGATGGGTTGAATCTCCCGCCCACCATTTCCACTTCAATTTACGTACGAAGATGTTAAGAACCTAAGGCAAGAATGAGTGGATTGGGTGAAGGCTAGGGTACAAGACTAGGGTATCGAGAAAGTTTGTGTACCCCCTAGAGCTAACCCCCATACAGCCTAGATGACCTAAACAAGCATATATATAATTTGACACACCCCCATAGGCGAAATGGGGGATAGCCAGAGCAAGCAACGGTTACAAGACCAGTCAAGAGAAGAAACAAAACACAGCTCAGGGTGGATCACAACGTTACCACGCAGTCTGAGCACAAGCAAAAGACCACAAGGCCAGTTCACATGCAGAGATATATATATATATATATATATCACAGTACAAACAAAGCCTACAGCAAGTGAGGAAGTGTGGGCACTAGGCCTAACAAGGTGCAGAAACGCTGATGATCACCAGGCGGAAGCAGGGCCCAAAATTCAAGGGTGTTTTACCCTTTCTACCCTTGCTATGGGCCGCTTTTCCAGGAATGCCCTGATGTAGGACGTGTATTTACAAATTGACCCTGACTGTATATTTGTAGTTTTTGAAATACACTTGCAAAATCAGGCCACCCCGAGTTCTCCCCTGACTCGTCAGGGTACTTTTTCAAATGCACTGAAACAAACTTTCCTCGTGTGGTTTCTGTACAACAAGGCCCATGTGGCCACTAGTCCGAGATGGTTACAAAACCGGCCAGACGAGTCACTGTCGCGCTGTCACATCGACAAAACAGACCACACCAGGAAACTTGTGATTCGCTGCCTCTACAGCATTTACATCCAGCATGGCAATGTAGCCCACACCACCATGCCACGGAGTGTCCTTGCAGACTGTGGGTGATGGGGCTTCCTTGGCCTATTCATTGCATGCGCAGCGCCACACATTCTGGAAGCGTGGTCGAAAGGCCACATCCTTAGAACGAGTGCCTTCTCTTTCATCCTCACCTTCTCCAGCCATTTCTTCTATCCCCTACTCTGCTCCACTAGCTCCACCTTACCATGCCAGACGAGGAATCAGGAGGAGAAGCACCTGCTTCTCCTCGCAATGGACTTTCTGTGCTCGGGGTTTTCCCCCGGCTGGGCAAAGCCTATGCCACTCCTGTCCAAGAACCTCCTCGCCCCGAATCACCAGTCCGTTCAGTCGGCATGGTGTATGCGTGGGAGGCACCGAACTCGCCGACTGCCTGGGAGCCACACCCATCCGTGACATTGGTGCCTGGTGGTGACGAGGGCCCTTCAAACGGAGGCGAGAGCACTCCGTCAACGGTCAACAGCGCTCCAGCTAAGCGTGCTCGAACCGGTGGTGTGAAATACACCCAGCAGCTCCTGTGGGGTGCAATGTCAGAACATTGTAGCTTATGCTGTTGTGTAGGCTATAGTGGGGTATCCCATAGGGGGTACAACCAATTAGGGTTTCATATTTGTACTCACTTCATTTCATAGTTCACCCATTCTTGTTCAAATTTTCTCATGGTATCGAGCAGGTTCCCCCTTGGGAACTGTGCTTAGGGCCCACCACATCGATTTTTTTTTTTCCTGCCCGAAGCGCGCTCAGCCCGAGTCGCGCTCCGGGCCCTCACTTCGTCGAGCCGCCCTAGCGGCCCTTCACTGCGGCCCCGCCACCCGTCTCCGCGGCCCCGCCGCCCGTCTTCGCGGCCCCGCCGCCTCTCTCCTAGCGGCCCCGCCGCCCTACCTAGCGGCCCCGCCGCCCTACCTCGCGGCCTCGCCGCCCCATTGCGCGGCCCCGCCGCCCTACCTAGCGGCCCCGCCACCCCATCGCGGCCCCGCCGCCCCATCGCGCGGCCCCGCCGCCCTACCTAACGGCCCCGCCGCCCTACCTAGCGGCACCGCCGCCCTTCCTCGCGGCCCCGCCGCCCCATCGCGCGGCCCCGCCGCCCTACCTAGCGGCCCCGCCACCTTACCTGCGGCCCCGCCACCTTACCTGCGGCCCCGCCCTTACCTGCGGCCCCGCCGCCCTCTGCTGCGGCCCCGCCACCTTACCTGCGGCCCCGCCCTTACCTGCGGCCCCGCCGCCCTCTGCTGCGGCCCCGCCACCTTACCTGCGGCCCCGCCACCTTACCTGCGGCCCCGCCACCTTACCTGCGGCCCCGCCGCCCTCTGCTGCGGCCCCGCCACCCTATCTGCGGCCCCGCCACCCTACCCGCGGCCACGCCGCCCTTACCAGCGGCCCCGCCGCCCTTACCTGCGGCCCCGTCACCTGCTGCCCAGCCGTGCCGCCCTGCAGCAGCACAGCCGAGCCGCCCAGCAGCCGAGCCGCCGAGCCGCCCAGCAGCCGAGCCGCCCAGCAGCCGAGCCGCCCAGCAGCCGAGCCGCCGAGCCGCCCAGCAGCCGAGCCGCCCAGCAGCCGAGCCGCCCAGCAGCCGAGCCGCCCAGCGGCCGCGCCGCCCAGCAGCCGAGCCGCCCAGCAGCCGAGCCGCCCAGCAGCGGGGCCGCCGAGCCGCCGGGCCGCCCAGCAGCTGAGCCGCCGAGCCGCCGCGCCGCCTTCCTTCAGGGCCGCCAGACCTGCCCAGTCTGGTGAGCACAGCGCCTTTTCACTGCACTGTCCTCACCCTACTGTTTGCGCTGCTAGTCGTCTAGGGTCATGGCTACCCCTAGTGTTCTCGCCTTTGACGCTGAGGGTAGGGCCATTGACTTTGAGGTCTGGGTGGATGATCTGCAGCTGTTCTTACAGTGCGATAGGGCAGACGGCCTCTCTCTCTTTGACCTCACCTCTGGCACCTCCACTGCCCCTGCTGCTGATGCTGACGCCACTGTTCGCTCCCAGTGGGCCACGCGCGACGCTGCTGCACGTCTTGCTGTGCGTCGCCACCTCCCTACCTCCGAGCGTGCGCACTTTAGTCAGTACAAGAGTGCTCAGACCTTGTACGACGCTGTAGTTGCGCGCTACTCCTCCCCTGCCACTGCTGCACTGAGCCGTCTCATGCTACCGTACCTCTTTCCTGACCTTGCTGCCTTTCCCACAGTCACTGACCTCATTACGCACCTCCGCACTAGTGACACTCGCTACCGCGCTGCACTCCCTCCTGACTTCTGCGCCAGGAACCCCCCCCCCATGTACATCACTCTTTACTACATAGTCACTCGCCTTCCTGACTCCCTTCGCGTAGTCAGGGACCACTTTCTCTCTGTCTGTCCCACCACTCTCACTGTTGACCTCCTCGAGAAGTCCCTCCTAGCGGCCGAGAAGAGCATAGTCGCTGTAGGGGCCTCTCGTGGTGACCCGCGCACCCCCATCTTTGAGGGGTGTTCCCCCTCCCCCCTTCTGCCCTCTGTTGCCTCTGCTGCTGCGGCCGACCTCCTTGTTCTTGAGTCGGTCGGTGCGGCGTCTGCCCCTAGCGGGAGACGCCGCTCTGGCAAGGGCAAGGGGGGCAAGGGCGCTGGAGGAGCGAGCGGGGGCGGTGGAGGTGGAGGTGGCGGCAGTTGGGGGAGTGGGGGTGGCGGTGGGAGTGGAGGTGGGGGTGGAGGGGTCGGTGGCGGCAGTGGAGGTGGAGGTGGCAGCGGCGGTGGCGGTGGGAGCGGAGGTGGCGGAGGTGGCGGAGGTGGAGGCGGCGGCGGCGGCAGTAGCGGAGGCGGCGGAGGCGTCGGAGGCGGCGGGGGTGGCGGTGGTGCTGGTCGCGGGTCTTCGCAGAGGAGTGGCTCCGGTGGTGGCTCGCGCCAGCAGCAGCAGCGTGGTCGTGACACCCTGTCCCCTCAGCAGCTTCGTGAGTGGTACACTGCGCGTCAGCGGGGTGGGGGTTTTGGTCCGTGCTCCTACGTTTTGCGCACTGGCGACCGTGCGGGTGAGCAGTGTGGGGGTGCCCACCCCACCCAGCGCTGCTTTGGCCGCCAGACGGACGCGTGGCGTCACCAGTTCCCGGAGGCCTCCGAGATCCCTCGCTGGGGCGAGCTGTCTAGGGCGGGTGTTGCCATCTATGATCTTGACTTTGATGCTATTCTCTCTGCCATGTATGCTGTGTCTATTAGTGATGAGGGTGACTGTTACCGGTGTTTCCCGCCCGATCCGGGCATTGAGACTGCTGCTCTAGGTCCTGGTGAGGCTGCTGCCCTAGGTGCTTGCGACGCTGCTGCTCTAGGTGCTCGTGTGTCTGCGTCCTCAGGTACTGGTGAGTCTGCGCTCTCAGGTCCTGCGTCGGCTTCGGCCTCCCTCACCTTCACCCTTGACTCTGGGGCGTCTCGCTCCTTCTTTCGGGACCGCACCACACTCACACCGCTGAGTCGACCGGTTGCAGTGTCTCTGGCTGACCCCTCTAGGGGTCCTGTCCTGTCTCGCTTCTCCACAGTCCTCCCGTGTCCGGCGGCTCCCTCTGGCACCCTGTCTGGTCTCTACCTCCCCTCGTTCTCTACGAACCTGGTGAGTGGTGCTGACCTACAGGATGCGGGGGTCCACCAGTTCACTCCTGCACGTCAGAGAGTGACCCACTGTACAGAGGCTGGCACAGGCCGACACCTGGCTACGTTCACCCGTCAGCCGGGGTCGAGCCTGTACACTCTGACCACTGCGTCTCCTCCAGTTGCTGAGTCTGGTAGGGTAGTTACGTCGGGTCAGGTGTTTGCTGCGGCGTCCAGGTCTGGTCCTGAGTCTGCCCCCTGTTCGTGTCGTCTCCTGTCTCACGAGACTCTCCTCTGGCACCACCGCCTTGGCCACCCCTCTCTGCTTCGGCTCAGAGGTATGGCCTCCCGTCTTCTTGTGTCCGGTCTCCCCCGGTCCCTCCCTCCCCTTCCTCAGGGCCCTGGCCCTGCCTGTGTCCCCTGTGTCGAGGGGCGCCAGCGTGCTGCCCCT